CTTTGCCTCCTTCTCCCCTCTAATAGCTCAGACCATTTGCCCTAAAGTGATGAGGACAGAATTTCCCTGCCTTTGATTTTCTAAAGAAAGGGCCAGAATTCTTGGAAGACTGCGTTTAACCTTTGGGAGATGGATAAGAAAGCTGCTCTATCGATTGGTTTTGCTTAGAAAATAAAGGGTGTGACTATCCTCTTGCCAGTTGAAAGTATTGCTTCTGGAATAGCTAGCAAAGGCTCTTTCTGGAAACATGTTTGAAACCATTTTGGTTACAGCTACTAAAGATTTGTTCCCGTCTTTGACATTTGCTGCACAGTGGATGCATTTCAGTGAATTCAACAGCATGTACAATTGAAATGAACTTGGCAGATGTTATCCAGTCCTTTGGGTCCGTTTGCATTCTGTGTAGAGATTCTCTACTGGTGGCAAAAATACAAATTGGAGTACTGAAGCTGTTTGGGGTGTTTGATGCCAGATAACACAGAAATGACAGATCCGATTGCCGATTCAAAACATTAAAGGCTGCCATCACGAGTCCCTTTAAACATTGGGTCTCTCTCTCTCGCAGTCCCCTTTATCTTAATCCTCTCTTAAATAGTGCGGCGGCTAGCCACCATGCTAACCACTGCCAAGTCTGAAGGTCGCATGCCTTTGATCTCTCAGTCTAGTCCAGTGGCTTCATTATCTTTTAACTTTGTTTTCAACTCCAGTTAAGGTTTGAGCAAGTGGAAGAGTGGGAGCTGTCACTGATACTCAGTGCAGATATAATGCTATTTAAATGCTAATGTGTTAAGAGGAGCAAAACGACCTTTACTCACACTCAGCATGCGGGCGGCGCAGCAGCACAGAACAGAAGCCCCTAATAAATGAGCCTCTTCCTCTGACTCTGTTTCCCTTCCCATCCACACCTCGTGTCACTCAGACGTAAGGTGTATTTATCACCGCCGAGCCCAGAGGATTTGGACAACATTATAGAGCTGGATTTTGGTTCAGGTGTTAAGGCAGACATGATTGGATGGTTGCAGAATGTGCTTATTGGTTTATTTGAGGAAATGTTTGCTTATCACAGGAAAATGTCTGCAGTGGAGAACTGTGTCTGTCGAATTCTTAAGCCTTTTTAAGACTACATTAAGGATCCCTGCCGTTTCCTATCTTAATATATCACATATTCGAATGTGCCTTCATTTGCATAGTCATTATTAGCAACATTTATAGCCAGAATTCCAAAGATAATTTTGCAGCTCTATGTTGTGCTGAATTTTAATTGCTCTCATACACCCTCCAGTCTAGCAGTCCTTCGGAGCAGTTGGCACCCTTGCCAGAAAGCCGATCATTTGATGGCAGGTGCTGGTATCTGTGTTAAAAACAACAGGCCCTCTCCCTGTCCACAGATGTCAGATACTTGTCTCCCTGTTTGCAGAGCACTTGCCAAAAGGATGCACACTCAGAGTGCATCTATCCCCTTTAGCCACCTCGCTTAAATAATAAATAACCTTCACAATTTGTTGTCAACTTACTCCTTGAATCATACGTCAACTTTTTTTTATTACATGTCATTTGTTAGACGCTTTTATCCTAAGGGACTTACATACTCAATATTGTGGACAATCCCCACAGGAGCAATTTGGGGTGAAGTGTCTTGCCCAGGGACACAACGACATGCTGACTGCAGTGGGACTCGAACTTGCTACCCCCCTGATTTGAAGTCCAGCACTCTAACCACTGAGCCACAGCCCCCCCCGTTTTTTCTTTCCTTTAGCTAAACAAAAATTCTGTATTAGCAGAGAAGGAGGTTGGAAAATGGAGGAAGAGATATGGAGGGTGGATGAGTCTGTCATCTGTCGTATAATCCCAGGAAATGCCGAAACTCTGCCGGTAGGTAATTTATTCAGTGCAGCTCCACAAGATACCTCAAGGAATAGTCAGCCTTCAGAAAGACCTTGAGGTAAGACAGTGACATAACTTCAGACAGAAGTGTAGCATCAATCAATAATGCACCGTCATCCTACTGCTGCAATTACTAGCAAACTGGAAATGAAATGACTCGGGTTAATGAAGTTCAGATTAAATATTCTCCATAGCAATGTCTTAGATGGTCATATTATGTGCAGCATTCCAAAAACAGTCCCTTCTGAGGAAAAATGACCCATCTTTTTTGTTTCTCCTCATGCATGCTTAGAGTAGCCTGGATTCATTTTAAAACAGGAAGCCAAGTTAGACATCCTCATAAGAGGAAACTGGTAAACAAGGAGAATTTGTTTTTCATCTTGACAGATGGAGAACGGCAGCAACAGAAGAGCAAGGCTGCACCTCAGGGGGTTGAGATCTTAGACGTCATTAAAAATAAGTTGGAATGGAATACATTTAATGAAAGATGAAAAGGAGCTTCCACCCTTAGTCACAATTCACTAAACAGCACAACAGCAGTAAGTCATACTTGGGATCTTGGTATTTTTTTGGGGGGGGGGATTTGTCAGTATGAGACTTTCTTAGAGCTATTGAGAAAATAATCAGGAGGGAAATCCTGGATGGAGTCAGTAACACCTTGAGTGTGCTCTGACAGTTTTCATAGAGATGTACTGTCTGTCTGGTTTGTATGAGAGAAGAGTATACAGTTGTATTCAAATGTAAAGCATCAAATCATTTAAATGAATTCCTGAATGATTGTTGGGTATTCACAGGTTAGCAGATTTAGTGTGACAAGAGCTACAATTAAAATAGTTGTTTTGCTTTGCTAGTAATGCAATGTTGTATTATGTTTGCATTATCATGAATTACAATTTGTCTGGTATTTGAAACATCTTGCATAGTAAGGCAAGGCAAGTTTATTTACATAGCACCTTTCAACACAAGGCAATTCAAGGTGCTTTACAAAAATGAAAGACATTCAGACAAAGGCATTTAAAAACAGTCATTAAAAAGAAAAGATAATAAAAGAAACATTAAAAGAAAAAATACATGAATAAAAAGTACATTTGCAAACATTGCAGTTTAAGATATGAATAGTACTGCATACATTATAACTGTTGAGGATTTTATGAATTTCTCCAACTCCTGTTGCAGGTTAGTGTCTGATAGAGCCATTTTCCTTTCATTTTTTGTTTTGCTCGAGGCAGAAATATTAAACGTTCCGATTATTGTTCATTGTCCGTCAGCAGAAGGAAATTGAAATTAAGAGCCCTGGGATTGACCCGAGAGGTTGTTTAGGTTAATTAGGAGGACGACTTTCTTCCTCATTTTACTTTTTCAGTTTTTTACGGCACGATTAAAGGGGAATTTAAAAACCAATTTTACACATCATAATCTTTTAAGAGGATATTGGGAGTGCAACTTAATTTTGTGAAAAAGTTTTATAAAGCTGTTTGTTGCTCCAGAGGGGCGTGCACAAAGTTTGATAAACTGACTTAAGTGATGTCATCTGAGTCAGAGTTGGTTGGGGCCAAAGACAAAACGTGTGAAAATATAAATAATCTAAAGGTTTGAAGTAAGAAAAGAAAACCAGACTTCTTTAGACCACTCCTCATTCTAGCGGCGTTAGCCACTACTAGCATGAGTTGCATTGGGGGTTAATGTAGCCTTTACCATAAAAAAGGTTATCTCTGGTTCTGCTGCTTTGATTTGATCATTTTAAAACCGCCCATGATATTAATAGTGTGCCATGATGGTAGTAAAAAAAAAGCACATTTTTCCCTCATTGAGAACAAATTAAAACAGACAGGAAGCTGCAGAGTTGTGTTGAGGGGCACGATGGAAGAATACCATCAGTACATGATATAATAAAAAAAGGGGACAATTTGCCCCCTAAACTCCCATCCTCTCTTTCCTACTACTGTAGCATAAAACTCTCCTTCAATGTATTATCTTACTGTGAAGGTGCATGGGTTTATGAGGCGTATCATTGGCAAGCAAGCGAGCTTAGATATGGTTATTCTGTTTGTTTGTTTGTTTGTTTGTTTATTTCCTATTTCACAACACAGTGTCCAGATAAGTTTGAAATATTACCTGAGCATTTCTCCTACAATATACAGGAGAAAAGCTCAGACAGAAAACAGACGGCAGACAAACATATTATTGTTATTACCAAATAAAGATATTGTAGACGCTTTTTTTTTTTTTTATAACATTCTACACTTTATGTGGCATCACTTATTAGCATTCATAGCTCATTTAAACCTCATTAACCAAAACATGTTTTTATTTGAAAACCCTTGTATTTGGAATCTATTCTACACTTGAACTCTTAATTGTAATTAAGAGGGTCATGCATGACCTACAGCATGCTCCCTGTCCCACATGGAATTTTAACCCCCCCCCCCCCTGACGTGATTTAAAGGGAGGACATTGTAATTACAGTGACAGTACACAGTCAAGAGGAATAATAAAGTAAATGTATCCTCTGATTAAGTTGAATACATTGGTATACTGTGGTGGGACGTCTGCCCTTGGTGACCGATCACTCAGAATAGGGTTTTAATCTAACATTACATTACCAACAGAGAGAAAGAGAGGGAGGGCGTTTTTGCTGATCGCCTCCCAAGGACGCCTCTCCCGCCGTATGCCTCACAGCGCTCTCCTCAGGGCTTTGACGGATGACACAAGCACCATGGAGTGATAGGCTATTATTTCACTTTGCATTGGATAAATGGCAATGCGGGCTCCTACCTGTCGCCTGCCTTTCTTTTTCTCTCATTCTCTCTTTTTTCCCTGTCTCTCTAGCCGTATTCTTGTCACATACCTGAATAGAAGGGTGGAAAAAAGGACATATTTTTTATCCTTACAATCTGTTGATTTCACTTTTCGGATGTGCTACTTTCCTGGTTTTTCGCGTCCTTTGTAGTTGAAGTGTATGAGGAGAGTGTGAGTAAGGTTCATAATGACCAACCGGTCCGAGGACTTGTCATGTGGTACTATCACATCATTAAATGTGAATTGTGATTGCTTTTTCTGGGGGAAATGCTTTTTTTACCCGAGGGTAGCTCTAATGTTCGCTCTCTGTCTTTCAGACCAGCAGTATTCATGGTCGCCCACGCAGTACTTCGATGAGGACAGCTACTCCCCTCCACCCAGGAACATGAAGGGTCTCTCTGGCGGCCGCCCTGCCCAGCTCCAGCTCACCTCTCCCATCTCAGCCCACACCTGCGGCCTGGCTGAATGCGACCATGCCCTGGACCATCACCTCCACTATAGCAACTCACGCCCCCCCTCCTACCTCCTTAGCCCCACAGAGAGCTGCCCCCTTGAGAGTCACCACCGCTGCTCCCCGCGGAGCTCCATCCACTCTGAATGCATGGTCATACCAGTTTCCATGTCGGCCACGGACCATTCCATGTCTAGTAGCACTTTCCCCCGCATGCACTACGGCAGCGCAACGCGGGAAAGCGGGGGCAACAACTCTGGCAGCAGGGACCCCCGAGATGACGGTGGATCGTCCTCGCACGGTGGCAGCGGCAAAATGAACAGAATCCCAGCAAACCTCCTCGACCAATTTGAGAAGCAGATGCCGCTGCACCGGGATGGCTTCCACACGCTGCAATACCAACGCACCTCCACTACAACCACGACTACAGAGCAACGCAACGAAAGCCCGGGGAGAATACGCCACTTAGTCCACTCTGTACAGAAGCTCTTCACAAAATCGCACTCACTGGAAGGTTCCTCAAAGATGAACGGCACCAAAGGCGACTCGCAGCGGGACAACTCGCACCACCACCATCACCACCACCAAGGCCACCATAAACACAGCAAACGCAGCAAGAGCAAAGAACGTAAATCTGAAGGAAGCGGCAAGCAGCGCTCAGGAGGTTGGTGGAGTTCGGACGACAACCTGGATAGTGACAGTACGTACAGAACACCCAGCGTCATGTCACGGCATCCTGTGGAGCACATCGGCCACTGCTACCCTGACTCGATACATAGCCACCTAGCTGGAGACCTGTCCCTCAAGACATCCAAGAGTAACAACGATGTCAAGTGCTCAGCCTGCGAGAGCATCAGCATGGCGCCAGAGGGAAAGTTCATGAAGAGGAGCTCCTGGTCAACGCTGACGGTTAGTCAAGCCAAGGAGGCCTACAGGAAGTCCTCACTCAACCTGGAGAAGCCCATGACACCCAGCGACCTCAAGCCCAACATCAGGCCCTGCCACTATCTTCAGGTGAGTTTGGCTTTTTTGTGTCTTTAAAGAGAAAAACAATAGACTGTATAAATGGCCCCATTGTGTTCTCGGCCACTCTTCTTTGAAGCCTTGAGTTAGGCAATTTGGCAGTGGCCATCTTCTTTTCTGGAGCCATAAGTGACCACACTTGGACATGCGTGGGGACCTGGGAAGAGATAAGCATCTCTTCGTCTCTTTCGGGATTGATAGATTTCTGTTGAACATACTCAACATACTCAGTTTTATGAGAATACATTTGTTTCGGAGGCAATGAATCAAGTGAGAGGTAGGATGATTTTCTCATAAACTTCTGTACAATGGGACTAGTTTTTGCAACCAGTGAAGTAGCCCCCTGCTAGCCGTTAGAAATAATGCAGGTTTAAGGAATTTCTGATTGGTGTACCTTTTCCGACCTGGCACGAAGTCCACTTGTTTAATACAGTCTTGGGTATTGCGCAAGTTATACACAACAGTTGCTTTTTGTATGTCTCTACAGACTACTTCTTGGTGAAACTCCCATTGAGTAGGGTACAAGATGGGTACTTTTAGGTTTTTGGTAGCAGAGGATAGTGATTGGATAGTGATGAACAATTATAGCGATGACAGAAACATTCACCATTTATTTTCTCACAGTGATTGAGCATCCATTCAACATGATGTAACATGCAGCAGTCCTATATCTTGAGCCAGTAATGTCCAACAGAAAGCAATATTTTTCCACAAGCCGTGAAAAAGTTGCTTATCTCAGCTGGATTCTCGATTGATCTGAAAGACAGTGTTTTGTTCGTGGATTTTACAATGTGAACCTGTCTTATGGCTCAGCATGTCGCTGGCAGCAAAAGAGATTAGCACAGCAGGACAAATCAATTAACTCCATAAATGATCTTCGCTGGAGGGGAAGAGTCAGCGATCCAAAAAAAAAAAGACCAGAAATCAATGTTGATTTGTATTGTGTTGTTGCTTCGATTTTGCATAAGTTCCAGGCTTGAGAAAAGGGCATCATTTAACACATACCCTTGATCAGCTCTGCAGGAGACCCCATAGCACCCAGGGGATCAATTCAGAGTGAGTCAGCACTTTACAAAGAAGTGTCTCCCAGGTTTGATATGCATGCTGGAGGGTATATGAAAGGGAAAAATGTCGAGAAAGCATGTTTATAAATCAAAAATTCCAAAAGCAAGGAAAATAGATTCTGTAAAAGCGCTACTCAATTTACAACAATGTGATATCTGATAGCATCACGTAAGCACCGCCTGAAGCCAAAATGAAGTGAGCACTTCAGCAGGAGAGAAGACTAAAATACTCAGCGCTCTAAACACAGAGTGTGTTTTATGGATTAGAGACTGTTGTAAACGGAAAGCCAATACATTACTCAAATCAACCAGTAGAGCCACAGAAACCACTCAATCTAAGCTTCTGTCAACAGAAAATGTTTTAGAGGACTAATTTTGACTAGTTTATTTTTGAACCAAATAGATGATCATTTGGAGTTAGACAGGATTTGTACTCATCCACTCACATGTTGTACAATCCCACTAAGTGCAGTAATCTCTCAATGAGAGAGTCGCAGTGTTTAGTGCCCACCCACGCCTTTCTTACTTCCATTGGGTCATTCAGCTGAAGTAGTGTCCAAGGCGAGGCACTATAAACACTTCTAAAAATATCCTCCTTCCTGCCGCAGGGCTATATTTAGCCCAGCGTTATCAATCCAATCCGTGCAGGGTGACACATCTTCCCTCCCCGGAGGAGAATAAATCGCCCTCTCAGGGAGATGTTCCAAAGGAGAGAAAGTTGAAGATGCACACCGCCAAAGTCTGTGCCTCTGCGGATGCATTGAAATACTCCAGGAAGCGGAGGGGAATAAACGAGATGGCTGTTTATGCTCCCTGTGGCTACTGTTGATGCTCATCACCAAGAGCAGTCAGGCAGAGAGAGAGAGCCAATAGTCTGGAATGATACTTCGCACACACGAGGGGTCACATTGAGAAGTTTTCACTTCCTGCTGCTGCTGAATTGGGATTAACCAAAACTGTCTGCACTGTAACAACATCAACTGCATCCTAGGAGTCTAGTGTCAGTGCGGACTCTCTGTCTGTGGTGTGTGCGTGTTTTTTTTCTTCCTTCTATTTATCGCACACCAGATGGTTTGATGATGTGCTAGTCACCTTCTTCGCGTCCTTGGTTGATGACAGAGAGATGAAAACGTCTGTAGTGTTATAAGAAGTATAAGACAGAACACGGAAAGAAATTAGTCAACTCGTGATGGATTCAAATGTTAATCCGCGTGCATGCATCAGGTGTGTGTCTGTGTGTGTGAGCGAAATAACACATGTGTTTGTATGAGAGATCGATTAGCTGGATATTTGGGCAGACAGAGATGGATTGAAAATAGCTGCTCTTTCGCTAAAATGACAAATGTTGCGGGATCAGGCCTGGCATAATCTATCGCTCTCTGTCTCCTGCTAAGTCATTTCACAAATTAGCCCCAATTAGCCTACCCCCCCCTCCCAAAAAAGAAAACACACCTGCACACACACACAATGAGTAGAGGTGATAATGGCAAAAGATTCATCACTTGTTGGCACACACCTGGTTGAATAACAAATTCAGCAATTTGTGAAAATAGGTGTAGGGGTTGCTCTCTCTTACACCCACACTTTCCAAATGAGATATGCAAATACACCTGGGCTGCAGCAACTGCTGTTATCCGTGCCTCCCCCACCTTCCTTGCACCTAACACCATAACTTTACAGCACAATAACTTTGTCTTACTGACAACTTTTAGCCCTGATTATGTCCACTGCTCTGTTCTCGCGCTGCGTACAGTACTGTTGTACAAAGGGAGGATTAGTCTTTGATAGTTTTGCCGATAGGGCATTGCGAAGGGATTTAATAAGCCAATTAATTGCCATGTTGGCTTGCCAAAGGTGGAGCTTGAGAGGCAGAAAGGCTGCTGATTAAATTACAAAAGGGAAGTGCAAAGCAGCAGAAACAAAACTGGCACTGTGACTGAAAGCTACAGTAACACCATCAACACACACAGGGGTTCCCTAACTTTCTATTAAGGGCTTCCCAGATAGCTATCAGGCCATGACCCAGTACTTATTAAGATGTTTGTCCCAGGAACCCCGCGATCAGACAGCAGTTTGTGGATAAATGTTACTGATCTCTTTTGCCTGAGTCGACAGCGTGGCTTTGAGATTACAACCCTGTGGGGGAGCATCTGCTTATATTTGTGTTTTAAAACTAAGTTTTTTTGATTATACAAGGTTGTCTGGCTGCAGCTATTTAATTGTGTCTCCGTCATGACTTTATGTGTGCCACTGATCTCTCAGGACAAATCAATAGATTTTAATAGACTTCTACGTTTAATACCACTATGTTCTGCTTTAGTAAAAAACATTTTTGTCAAGAAGTATTTTAACATAACAGTTGTGTTCTTTTCTGGACATATATTACCTAACGTAAGTAACGTTACTAAGTAGTACATTTTGGAGAACGTCAAGGTGTTAAATAAGGAACCTTGATTATTATTGTTTTGGTTTTGGTTTAACAGTACTTGTATTATTATTATTTATTCTATTGGATGTGTCCCCTCTAGGGCTGCATGATTTTAGCCAACATGATAATCACATATCTTTTTCATTAAAATTGAGATTACAAGCATTAATCACGATTATGCATTGATTTTAGGGACAAAATTATAATTATGCACTCGTTAAATAATGGAGCATTTAATAATAATATTTTTTAACAAATACACATATTTTCTATTGTATAATATATATATATAAAATATATTTCTATATTTTCCTATACAGTAGTTAAATAGTATTTCCCCTCTGGTGTGTTTTTGCACCCACTGGAAGGAGCATTACAGGATGAATGTTACACTGACTTTCGCTAGTGGGTCACCACTACTGGAAGCAAACAGTCGGAGAAATGTTGGCCCTGTTATTTGGAAATTAAATGTTCAAGGATTTGTATTATATTTTCCCTTAACACAAGGCTCCTTTTTCTATTCATCCTTGAGTGTGTTTATTTCCACCTCCATGCTTACATCTAATAACATAAAAGGTGTTTAAATAAACAAAGACGTAATGTTGCACGTGTGGGCGTATATGTGTGAAAGAGTGAGACGATGGAAGAAGAGTTGCTCGTAGGTAGGGTAACATTGGTCTAGGAAGAGGAAGAAAAAAGGAAAACAGCTCCATCACACACACACACACATACACACACACACTGCGTACCCATGCAATCTTGTGGGAGGAAATGAGGGGCTGCTAGGTGGGATTACCAATGATTGAACCATTAAGAGCTCTCTAAATCTCTCTATTCCTTCCTCTCTCTCTCACTCATTTCTCCTTCTTTCTCCACAATTCTCCCCCCTCCCTCTCTCCATTGCTCTTTCTCTCTCTGTCTACCTCGCTCTGCTCTATTTTGAAACTCAATGGCAGTGACTTATGTTTCTTAGTGGGAGAGGAGCTGTGTATAGATAGAGCTGCAGAGTTAATCAATGAAATGCACTGCTGCACCGCAGGAGCATTGGCTGAGGCTTGCCTAGGCAGAACACACACACACACAAACACGCACGCACACCGTACTCTCTGTGGTCTCCTACAGAGGCAAAGATCAAAGCACTGAAAGTAAAGGTAGACGGCAAAAAATGTCAAGGTCTGCACAATCCTGCGATGAGGTGATTGTGAGAAATTGTTAAATACTGGTTGAATACTGGTTTGAATTGCTTAACACATCTTGGATGGACAGTATGTGTAAGCAGTTGTTTTTTAAAGGGGCCCTAATATGCTAATTTCCAGGTTCATATAAATAGGTTGTGCCTGTGCTGTGACATGTTTCCATGCTTTAACATGTTAAGCAATAATAAACCTGTGAGTTGGATGTAGAAAAGTCAGAATCAATATAGATGTTTTTATTTTAAAATAAATTCAGATTGAACATAGTAAAACAATTTAAATTATAGTTTCTGTCCAAAAAAACCC